TTAACTCCCAAACTTTGTTTGTGCTTTGTGCTGCATGTTCCTTTTGTTGAAAGATATATGGCTTTATTTACTATCTAATATGGATGTTGTATGAAGTGACAGGCTGCAAAATGATCAGAGTAACTTCCTTTTCAAAATCAAATTCAGTATTTACTTGGTGTTTACAAAATGCAAAAAACAAAGAGTTCAAAACGCAGCTGAAATTATAAAGATGTGTTGACAAATGTCCTACACAAATAATTTGACAAAGAGTTCTGGCACAGTTTTTTTTCTTCTTCTCCAGAATTTATAGAGAAGCAAATGGATCACTGCAATTCAGTGAGACGCTCCAGAACATAGACGTGTAATAGCTCTCAACACAAGGGTTTGTGATTTTGTCAAATGTTTTTTCAATAATACCTCAGCTTCTCTTTGGATGTATTTTTTCACATGATTGTGTATTTGTACTTTCAAGGTTGTAGTCTAGATCCTGCTAAAAGACACAATTTCATATATATCTTTAGGGTTATATTACTGAGGATGTCTGTATGTGTCATGGGTCTCCATTCAGTAGCTGCCAGGGTCCGTCTGTATTTATTAGAGACGTGTGTGTTTGGGTGGATCGGTTGGAGTTTATTGGTGTGAGCTGCAGTTCCTTCTCTTTGTGCTTGTTTTTCTTATAGCTTCCTGTGTCTCTCTGCTATCTTCAGCATAGAAGAATTGGAGATCACAGTGATATGGTTAAGTTGGGGTCTGCTTCCTGTGTTAGGACTCTTATTTAACAGCAGAGGCTGTGATGCACTCTTACAGGGTGAAAGTAAGGGTATCATATACCTCCTAGAGTTTTTTTTTTTTTTTTTCCAAGTCAGGATTTTTTCAGTTTCAGATGAAAAAAATTAACTTGACTTGACGTGACTTTGAGACTTTGTCCCCTTTGTTCCCATATTAAAACTGCTGCAGTTTAACAAGCCCTTTGCACTCTTCCCCTGAATGGGACTTGAAGGTTTTATTTTATGTTTTCTACATTTTTTCCAGCATTTCTTTGTTTGTTTTGTTTTTTTACATGTTCGAAGTAAATTAGAAAGAAAGGTGTTTTGACTGCATGTCAAAAAAAATCAAGGAAATAATCTTTATTTCAATCTCCTGATAGAACAGTGAATTCAAACATGCATGTTTAACCCTTAAAGAGCATTTTGTTCTATGGGCTCCTTATGATAAAGTCATAGCACCATTGACTTAGTAACACACACTCATACCGGCTGTACTTCACTGTAGTTACAAAGTTGTAAACTGTACCCATGCTGATCATCTGTTCTCCATTCCCTTTCAATTTGGCTTGACCCCCTTCCCCTTTCAACCACTAAAGGGGTCAAATAATTCACTGTTTGCTCAAATATGTAACTCTGGAGCTAAACAAAGGCGGTATCTGTCAGATGACAGCCACTGTCATGGCTTGTGGTGCATTGCCTCATGTGACTGGCTAACAGGTCAACATGATAGATTTGTTGACCTGCCTGTGAATTTAAATCATGGTTTACTCTTGAGCTGCAGGTTCAGCCAAAGATTGAACTTTGCAACCCAGTTTATACATTTACAGTATGTGTTTTGGTTACTCTCCCAGGTCATGAATAGAGCTAAATAATATTAGCCGCAGTAATCTGTTCCTCTGGAGAGTCTGTTTGGCTGAGGGGAAAGTGAGAGGGCAGTGAGGCGCTGTCTGAGTGGATTGGCCTGAGCCTCTTCTGCTTTTTAATGTCTTTAAAAGCTTTTCTGCTGTTGCGCTGCTCAGCCCCTGTGCTAGCACAGCCATTCATCTGCTCTGCTGTCTTGTTACCAGCTCTATGAAAAATGACTCTTGCACAGGATATAGTTTGCCAGCTAATTTGATGGCATATATCTTATTAAGTTTTTCTTTCACAGCTTTTAGAGCTATAGTGTTTTTGACTGAGGTCCACGTGCAAAGTTCAGCAGAAATAAACCATTCTTTATGCAAGAACATCATTTACATCCTTTTAAATATAATAATCTTTCTGTAAAACATCTATGAAAACCTGTGAGGACTTGTATACATGCTGCACCCCGACCAGACCTGCATTCATTCCTGTCCGTGTGTTGGGCGAGAACATAATACTGTATCTCTGTATGCCGTTGGCATTTAGAAGTATACAGTATGTGTGTGTACTGGCTGTGTCACAGTCTGTGTGTTGGGTCACTGTTTAATGTCACTGGCAGTCTGTTTGTTCTCTGTCTTTGTTCTTAAGGTGCAGCATTGCACAGCACCCTTTTCACACACAGTTACCAAAAAATTAATTTAAAAGAAGAAAGCGGAAAAGGAAACAGTGCTGCATCCCCGCACAGAGACATTTTTAACTGTTCACTTTAACAATAATCTTACAAATTAAATATGGATCCTGTATTCATTCTTCTAGTATTCTTCTATGTAGAGATTCGCACATGCTTGGGTTGAACATCAGTATCGGCCAGTATCAGCGTGGTTGACAGACATGGGCCCATGGGTAAATAATCAGTGGGACTGAAGAACCCTGAATTATTTTCATGTTCAAACAGAAAAGAAAAGGTCAGCAGTGTGGGAGTATTACTCTAAGAAAGATCTGCAATGTGCAGTTAGTAAGGAATATCTCTGAGACTACTAATAAAATGTTGATACAGCCAATCACATAGTTCATTATTTGAAAACAGATTTACAAAGAAGAAATGAAAAATGCCAAAATCAGCTAACTATTATTTTAAAGATAAGTATAGGCCCTGTTTTAACAATGTGTTCATCTCTGATGTAAGGCCTCACTCTCATTTATTAGGCAATACAGCTCAGTACTACTTTTTATATTTATTACAACAGCCCTGTGTTACACATTTGTATTTCATAAAAAGCTAACATTCTTTAAGTTTATTTAGTGCTGTAGTTGTGCTAAATGTCAGCTACGTTTTAAGCTGCTGTTAAAGTACAGCTCTCAGACTTGCCCAAGGTCATATTCCATTTGACATTTTTACTAACATGTCTTACTTTCTCGCTGCTAATAATAAGAAGAATGGATTGACGATACTTGTGTTTATGGTACGCAAAGCTAAAATCAGGAGACAATTACCTAATTTTAACCAAGCTTTAGACACTTCAGTCATTTTCTGCAGCTTTCTGTTAATCCACTTTGCCAGGCAGCCGTCAGTCAGCAATTGACCCCTCCTGAAAGTTTCCCCCAATTGTATCACTTTGAACTTTTAGCTCTCTCCCTGTCTGTATGCAAAGATAAGCAAACTAGCTGCTGAACAGATATATTAGTTTGGTATTTTATCATCTAATTCTTGTAAAAAGATATTCCTCAAAATGCATGAAGAGCTTCTGCTGTAAGAAATGTCTGGACATGTTTGACTTTGTGCTACCTTATTTTCACCCTACAAGTGCCCTTAATGCACCCATCTTATTCTGTCTTTATTTTCTGATTTGATTGTCTTGTCTGTGCTTTTGGGCTCATCTTGTTGTCAGCTGTTTACAGATTATTGTCCTCCCTGATTTATGAAATGGTGTACTGAAAAAAAGCTTGCTTGTCGTATTTTTGAAGTTGCATATATAATGATGGTAGATATTTTCAGGCCTAAACATGAGGTTAAGCAGATTAAAGAATTACATTTGTTTCACAGAGTACACAGCATCCATTACTGTGTCCCCGGTACTCATGTCATCTCAGTGTTGTGTCTTGCTGCCATTAGTGTGTAACTAGAGTGTCACAGCTACTGATATTGTCTGCATGGAAAAAGTGGCTTACTGGGTGTGTCTGTGTGTATTTCTACCCTCAGCCCGAGATGCAGACGAGCGGGAGAAGTGGATCCACGCCTTAGAGGGAACTATCCTCCGTCACACCCTCCAACTAAGAGTATGTAAACAGACACTTTGTGTTTATATGTCGGTTTGTGAGCGTGTGTGTTTGTGTGTCTACATCTGTGTGTCCGATCCACCTTCTTGAGTGACAATAAAAAGTCGTTGTGCTGTAGGGCTTCTTTTTTTTTTGTCATCATTCATGGGGTTTTACTGTTTACTTTCTACTGTCTTAAGTAAACGTGCTGGTATTTTTCATACCTGAGCTGTTCACTGGTGGAGATACAGTCTGAAAGTGGACAGGTGAGCTAATTTGGAAACTCTGAAGAGTAGAGAAATGCAACACAGCCATCAAAGCTTTCGTTGTGGGATCTTTATCACACCTCATGTTGCATGCATTTGGAAACGTAGTAAATCATGTGCTATATGTCACCTCAACACAATGCAAGGACTTACAGTTTGAGGGCCTCGTTTCTCAGGTCTTGTTCTTGTGTCCTGGTCTTCTCAGCTTGTTTTTGCACAGTAGAACAGTTGAGTCAGTGAAGAGTCTTGGCAGCATAAATAGAACAGTGACGTTCATGCCAACATAAATTGAGGATGTTATGGCAACATGTGGCTGATTTGAACTGGTGTCAGATCCAGGGAATTTATTTTGGATAAACAGCTATCTCGTTGGTTTACTGCTGACTTCTTGTCAGCCTGTTTTTCACCTTTACATTTCTAATTTCTTATGAGTATTTTAGACTCTTGGCTCCGTTTTGCTTGTGCTTGTCCTGCCCTGTTGTTTTCTCTCTAGCCAATCTTATTTCCTGCTCTCAACCCCTAAAGCAAACCTTCCTCCTTTTTACCCTCCTATCCTCCACATCCAGTTCCTTCCACCCATCTCCTCCTCCTTTTTCAACCTCATGACCAACATTCTGATATGCTCTCCCTCCCTCCCTCCCACCTTCTTCCTGACTCCCTCCCTCCCCCTGTGGCAAATCCTTGTGACGTGCTACGTCTGCCTGCACACATACACTCACACACACTCTTGCAGTGTTAGCGCCCTGCTGTCGTAGCATCATGTGACCCAGCAGTGACAAATCCGAGACCTGCTTGCTTGATCAACCAAACATCTGCCTCTGCAGCCTGAGCCAATCAGAGTGGCTGTTAATGTGTGTCCCTGTCAGCACTTGCTGCTGCTTTGTGTGTTTTCTCTTCTGCCTGCGTGAGAGGAAGTGTGCCTTTCCTGCCAGGGGAGGGTCTTGGATTAACTCAGCCCTGTCTGCTTTCATACCAAACGCTCAGCTGCTGCCGAAGGATATACTGTAGCCACACTGGCTGCAAAGCTAACTCACAGACTGGAGGCTGCTGTAGTTTATATTGGCCAACTGCAGTAGCAACTAAGCGGAGGAGATTGTTTTCAGTTTCTGTGTGAAAGAGCCAGCGAAAGGGAGGAGGGAGGAGGAACGTTAACTTAACCAAGCCACTAGTTTGTGTCTTTTGGGAGATAAAGACATAATTACGGAGAGAAAAGGAGAAAACGGTCTTGTGTCAGGTTACATACATGGCCTGATGGGAGAGATATACAAGGTTTAACGCAGCATGTCCATTGGAGCGAGGCACCCTGTAAGTAAACACTCAAAATCTCTTTGACACACACACACACACACACACACACACAAACGCCACTGCACCACAGCAAGGAGAACTTATACGGCTGCAGTGCGCTGCTGGGGCAGCAGCATTTTAAAGTGGGACACACTGCGTGGAAAGACAAATAGAAACAGGGGAAGGGGGAGCGTGAGAGGGCAGTGTTTGTAGAGTCTAGGGTGGTGGGGTCGGTTTGTAAGCATTTATGTGTGAGACTTTGCAGGCTGCCCTTAAAATATTCTCACAATGTCACAGTTACACACATAGGGACACATGGTCTGCTTGAATGAGTCGGAGAGAAGGCGCAGAGGCTTGGGGAATATTTTAGGAGCACAGATGAAGTGAGGAGAACAGTGACACGGTGGCACACTGGCTTCTTATAAACCAACACCCTCTTCTGACTTTCTGTTTCCAAACTTTGTCTGAAGTGTGTTGACAAAACACGAGCGAGTGTTCACAAGGTAGTAATTGGAGCTCTGTCTTATTTTACAACCCTGTTTTGTTCTTAACATGTCAGCTTCATTTTCCTGCTCAAATGTTTCTTCTGAAGTTTCCTGTATAGGCCTACAATGCAAACATGGCTGATAAAAACATATAGAATAACCTGTGCGAGACAAATGCAGTGGAAGATACACCATGTTGTAAACATAAACTCTTTTGATAAGTATATAACTTTGTAATCGTGACTTTTTAGTGGTGTTACAAAGATCTGTGTGGGTGTTGTATTCCGTTTTTGAAAAGGTCTTTGTGTTATTTTGTAAATTCTATTATGTAAGATTGGTAAGGTCAATAAGTTAAACACCACTTTACCCAGAGTTTGAATGGCATAACTTTACTGAGTCCAAAATCCATAATTACGTTAACACTTGTAAGTTTGGATTGTTTTGTTTTGTTGTCAGCTTCAAGTGAAAAAAGATCCAATTCATCCAGCATGATATGATTGTCCATTGTTTAGATTGGGGAGTTTTCTCACACTGGAGTATAAAAACACTGAGACAGGACACAGACATGCACTTTTTTCTCAATCAGAATGTTTGATTAGATTTTCGCTCAGGCCCTCACCTGGCCAGCTATATCCTGTAGTCATGCCTCTATTGGAAGAACCTTTGATCCTCTTGAGGAAGTTTGGCCAGTTAACTACAGACTGCTATGCTCACTCAGACTTTGTTCTCTATAAAGCTTGTATGGTTTTGCTGTTTAATGGCTTTTCTTCACATTCCTGTGAGGTCGTCTGTATCAACTAGAAAAGCTTCCACAGAGTCAGGAGGACTCCGCAGGGATATGAGACGCAGGATATCCAAAGCAGCCAAATCCCCCAAAACGGTTTGATTAGAGCTTGATCTGCTAACAAGACTCCACTTTGATTCTTACAGATGTTTTCAGATTAACTCATCTCAATGCTTTTTCTCGTTGGAGATGTTGCTCTGGGATTTTTCAGGCTGTGTTAAAAAGAAATCTTGTGGTGGTCATCTTAAAAATTATTCTGACTTAATTGAGAGGAGTTTTTGTGATGTGTTGAGTGTTCTCAACATAGGCTACATATTATGATTAGTATATTTTTTGAAGGATGTTCTTGTCTGTACATTTATATGCTCCTGTCTCCTGATTTTGGTGTGTCACAGCAAAACTGTGACACTGAATTGTTCTCAATTTGGTGAGCTCAGGCAAATAGAAACAGATGCATGTCTGTCCTTTCAGTCCTCGGGTAATTACCTTTTAATGGACATTATGTAATGAGACACATTATGACATTATGTCTGTGCCTGAGTTTCCTTATGTGTGTGAAGTCTGCCTTTCTGATGCTGATGGGGCTAGTACGGTGAGCTAATTAACAAACAATGAATTTAAGTGCACCACAACCCATTGACACACTTGCATATTTAACAGTAACTTAACTTCCTCCAGACCTGAGTTGCTTGATTCAGTTTTGTTGAAGCCTGAAATTCACAGTCAGACAGACAGACCTGCAGGCCTTTCATGTCGGCTAGCCTTTAAACAATTGTATTCAGATCTCTCCCAGCACAGTACACTGCTGGAAGATTCTCCTGCACTGTTGATGTTTCTGTCGCCCATTTTGTGTTACAGTTTACAAAGCTTACCTGGCCATGAGGAGACCATGACGGGCTCTTTTTTTTTATGAAGGGATAATATGCGAATACATGTTTAATATTATTGGTAGTGGCTGTGTTTTTACTTTGAATATGCAAATCTTGCATGGTATTTGATTTGGGTATAGGGCTGCACTCATCTTCTGCTGTGTTTGATTCTTTATTTGCAGGAGGCTGAGACAGGATTTGTCCCCAGTGTTCAAGACTTTGATAAGAAGTTAGCGGAAGCTGACGCCTACCTACAGATTCTGATTGACCAGTTAAAGGTAGGACTCGATGGGGCATAACCTATACAACATCATACCTGGAGTTTCTGTACACTTTGAGTATATTTAAGAAATGTAGGACATCTGCCACTCACTTTTATGTATTCAGCTAAAATCAAAGGGTACTAAAGATCATTTGAAAGGATATCCAAACAGATGAGGTAATTTGTTAAAACTATGTCTTTTAGTTGGCCCTAAGTTTGTAAGTTTATTTAATACAAGGCATGACTTGCATTTTTGCCCTTACCTTTCCCTTATTATTCTCTTCTTTTTCCTTGCTGATCACTTCCCCTCTTTGAAAGCAGAAGTGATCAGAATTAAGATTTCTGGTAGAATGGTGATTAAGCAGAAAACCACATATTTAATGAAGCAGAAGCATTCTGTCTCAGGCAGAAAATCTAAATGGAAACACTGCAAGTGTCCTCCCTGTCCCCTGTGTCCTGGTGACAAACTCAAACTGCCACCTCATTATTTTGAACCACATCATCTGAACTGAGTCACCTTCTGAACATATATCAACTCTCTTCTCCCCTTTTCTCATGCCTTCTTCTCGCTCGCTCACAGCTGTTTGATGAGAAGATCAAGGACTGCAAAGAGGATGAATCACGCCGAGTGAGTACCAGCAGTGCTGCTCTGTCCCTGTGTTTCAGCTCTCTGGTCGCCTGTTCTTAATGCCATTAGAGCCGAGGCTAACAGCAGGCGAGGAAGGCTGACACAGGCAGTGGAGCAAAAATGATACCTGTCGGCTGGTGCAGATTTGTGATGTGTTGTTGTTTAGACTTAAGCCATCTTCCAATAAAAAATGTAAACATTAGATAAAAAATGTTCTCAGCAAAGATGTTGTCTCTCTTTGAAAATCTAGTAAAAGGGTTTCATATCATATAGTACGGTGGTACTCAGCCTTGTTAGACTTAAGAGCCACATTGACCAAAAAAGAGCCACAAACAAAAAACCTCTTTCTTTCCTAAAATGTCGGTGGGAAACACAGTGACATGACTTAAAAAGAATCATTTCTGCTGACAATGTTTCCCTTTTTTAAATGATTACTTTTGATTATTATTATTTTTTTTCCCAAATAGGACCTAAAAGAGCCACAACTAGTCCCAAATGTGGCTCAAGAGCCTCAGGTTGAGTATCACTGATATAGTATCATATTCACTGTGACAGTGTCTGTAAAGTTTGACCTTTTGTTCAGCCATGCAACAAACTAACTGACAGACCTCTGAGCTGAACTAATGACAACTGTATATTCACAAATGATATGTGCTAAATATTTTCTTTCCTCATAATAATCTTCCAGAGCATATGTTGTCTCTTCAGATGTCTTGTGTTATCCAATCAACTCTCTCGAACCCAAAGATACTTGACTTCATTCAAGTAAAACATAACAAATCCACAAAAGGTCACATTTGAGAGTTCCTGGTCACAAGCTGTAACCAGGAACGTTTTGAGTGCAGTGATTCATCAAAGAATAGATCACAGCTATAGATCTTTATTGATTTGAGTTTGACGCAAGAGTTGTCCTACTTTCATAGTTTTTTAAAAAACATTTGTAATACCCTTCACTCCCATATACCAGGTTTATTTTGCTAAGGCATACTTGAACCTGAAACTGAACTGTGGGTACAACTGGTACTGTGTGTTTTTACCAGAAGCTGTGTGATTCACTTCCTCCCTGAGAATGTTGCTCTTTGGTCACTCTGACTTGTTTGTCGCTGATCTCTGCAGTGTAACAAATAGTCCTGTAGATTTCCAAAGAAAAACGCAGCTGTTACTGTTATTGAAACATCGTCACCTTGATGTTTTCTACCAGCTGTTCTTTGTTTGCTGTTAAACCGGTTGCATCAGCACTTCTGCTTCTGAACTTCTTATTTGTAACTTTTTAATTTAACGCCCCGTTTTCCTTTTCTTTTCTACAGAAGATTGAAAATTTGAAAGAGACGACTTGTGTAAGTGTGAAATTAACACATTTTCTTTATGTATTTGGTTTTTTAAGTAATTTCCTTGTAATTAAATTCTATTTCTTTCTTTGTCTTTCAGAGCATGGTAGAGTCCATTAAGCACTGTATTGTACTGCTGCAAATCGCCAAGGTAAACACAATGTTAGCATATGTTATGATTAACCTCTGTAGTTTGTTTCTCCCACTTCATCATAATCACTGTTCTTGTGAGACCATGTTGCTGTGTGCACTGTGTGTTGCCCTGTGTGTGTCTCTGGGGTAGTTCCCTGCTTACACTTGCTATTTGGGTCGGTGGTTGATGAGGGTGTTGCCCAGTAATCATTTCATCACATGTTCCATTCTGCTTCAAGGGAAGTGTAGCAACTGTTTCTGCTTCATTCGGTTGTGAGGTGGAATGTGTTCAACTCTGAACTCTTACATTCATAAAAAAGATTTAAGGAAACACTTAAATGACTTTATAGTAGTGTGATCCTGGCCTTCTTTGACCATGTGATGAAAGGATTACTGCGTGTGGCCAAAGTCATGAATATTTGACCATGTGATGAGAGGGAAGGATCTCATTGCTCTCTATGCCACAGATGCTCAGGATGCTTTATGAAATGATTCATCAACCCTCCTACAAAAGTAGTCTAACATTGTCTTTTCAAAATTTTAAGGACCAAAGTAACGAACAGCAACACGCAAACGGACTTATAGTAAGTTTGACGTTCTCCGTCCATGACAGAAATTGAAATCAAAACAACTGCTAACTTTCTCTTCTTGCTTAATTTACTCTCCACTGTAGAAAACCATTAATATCAGATCTGTTTAGTGCATGCCCTCTAGATTGGAAATAAACTCTATCTCAAACTGTTTTCCTTATTTCTGCCAACACTTTCCTGAGATTATTATAGCTGGTGTCTTCTGAGAATTCATTCTTTAGAAACGGTTGGGAATTATTCTTTCCTTCATCAGGTTGTAAATGACAGTATGTGAGTCTGCAAACTTTTGAAACGTACTCATTTTGTGGGGCTGCAACTATTTCAATTGTTGATTAATCTGCCAATTGTTTTTCAATTGATGGATGAGATGCTTGATCTGTAAAACGACAGAAATTTATAAAATGAGATAAGATATGAAATGAAATAGATTAGGGTTTTTTCCCCAAACCCCCCAAATTGACATTCTTAATCGTATGATTTCAATTTTGCTGTCAGAAAAGATAAAAGAATCCAGAAATAATTAAAATTTGGAATCAGAGAAATTAAGCTTTTCTTGGACTCAAAATAATCAATTCATCAATTGTAGAAAATAAATTGTTGCAGCTCTACATTGATGCAGAATTGGGTGCAAATGTTGATTATGTATTTATTTGCATGCCTGAATATGAGAGACTGTTGCACTTCACTTCACACTCAATAGTTAGAGCCAACTAATTCACCATTGATTTGTCTTGTACACACACTGCCTGCTTATTGAACCGTAGAAGTTCAATAGCTGAGGAGCCTTTGGGTGGCCCTGCAGGTGTACCGTCTTTATGTGAAGAACCACACCAGGAGCTTTGCATGTTTTATCTACAAATCACACCAACGACAAGTCTTTTTCCAAAGCCTACCATACACATTTTTAGATTGACCTGACTTCTAGCAAGTTGTTTCACACAGTATGACAATTGGCATTGCAATGCAATCTGTCAAAAATGTACAATACAATATTGTGAAATATATATTCCCTGAACCTTGATTGTTTACATATCACAATAAACAAAATGTAAAAAGAAGGTTTTTACACCAAAGTAATGCAAAGGTTATGGCTGGAGGAAATTGTTTTGATATCTTAGACCTACACAGATCTGAACCGAGCGTGTAAACAAAAGGTGAAAATCTAGAAACTTGATGTGTGCTTTTGGAAAGTGGTTGGTAATGTGATGTACGGTAAAACACTTTATAGGGAATGGACTAACATATAGAAGAAGTAGAATCTCATAGAGGACACACTCTTCATAGGCCTGTACTGCCCTTATAGCTGACTTAATCTCACAATCATTAAGTACTGCATCAAGTAGTATTAATAGCACAAATAAGCTCTTCCACACATCTAACGCACATGTTTCTATATGCCATAAGCTGTATACTAAAGTAGTATTTGCAGCCTTAGAACATTATGAAAATGTCAGTCACGTTGTCCATTTGTCCATAATGTGGAGCGAATGATAAATGCACTGTAGACCTGTGTAAAGAGTAGCATGTTTGATTGATCCGGTCAAGTACTGCAGCACTAAGGGAGTCGCAGCTAAGTGCAGGAATCATTTACAACGAGGAGCACAACAGGAGCCATTTCAGTATTTATCTGTGGGTGCTATGATTGGTTGAGGATTGCTCTGCATCTTGAATATCTTCTGCATTGATATAAGAGTCCACAAAATAATATACTGATGATGACACAGCACTTTAAGCCGTCACTCGGCACATCACAAGAACTCCTCTCCTTTGACTGCTTTAGGATTCAGCTTTGGTTTGCGAGGCCACACACTGGTCCTACAATGACAGAACAAAATGTCTATAATTGGCTATAATTAGTAGCCATCGTCTTACTTTCATAGAGGCACATGGACTTGGGAAACATTGAGTATTGTGGCGATAGAAATGAATGAGTGGAGGAAAGAAGCCTTACAATAACAAAAAAAAACAATAACAGCAACATCGACACGTGTATGAGCAGGGCGACAAATTAAGCTGAGATATCTGACTAAGCTTGTTTACATGATATTGGTTGTGTTTTTTGGTTACAAAAAGGGGGGGGGGGGAGTAATGTAACAGTGGAAGGAAAAAATTCCAGTTCAGAAAAACGAGATTCCCCTCTGCATTCAGTAACTTTTATCTAACATACTCAGTGTTACATTCTGCATTTGTGAAGGTCTGTTGTTTGCTTATTGTTATTCTCGTCCAACTGGCCCTCTATCATACTCCTGTGTTTTCACCCATGCAGACTTGTGTCTGGCCATATATTAACTCACTGTGACTGTTGCTGTTAGTCTCACATGAGTTCATTATAACTTGCTAAGAGAAAAGAATAAGCTGTAAGAATCACAGACAACAGGTCAAGTTTCAGTTATAGGTTACAAATAACATCGATTCGATCTAATTTCAGTGCAACCAAGGGCCCCGAGGTTAGTTGTTGTTGAATATAGGTCGATACAGTTTTGCTCTAGCTCATGTTGGTGGTGTTCCTGTCTGTTGGTGGTCCTGTCAGTGATGCCAGTGACCCCATTTCCACAAGCTATCATGTTAATTTGTACATGTGCTCATTGTGGTGTGTTGTGTATGATGGATGCTCTGAGGAAGACAACACCTGCAGATGACACAGCCCCAGCAGGTTATAACCACGGGGAAATCAAGGGCGAGAGAGTTAAAACATGTTACAGATTTAGTCTGCAGCCCAGTGGAATTAATTAACTCCCCTATAGACGGGGAGGTTGCTTGGAGTTCAGGAGGAGCTGTTATTTATTGTGTTAGGTTTCTGCTCGTGTTGTTGGTTTCATTTTGATTTGATAAGGGTAAACCTGGAAACTCCGCTCTTTAGCCTCACACTCAAACAGAATGGAGAGAAATTGATCTCTTGAGGCCAGGTGGCGAATATTTGATTTCACTGTTCTTGTTGTCGAGTAGGTTAACCATTCAGCTGATATGAAACCTGCATACATGCTCTGAGGTTGGTACCCAACGTCAACTCAATTCTGATGTGCACGTTAAAGGAAATGGTGTCTCATTGTGGTCGGCGTGTGCCTGTATTTGCTTTTAGATGTGGACTGATCAAATAAGCTACCTGTCTTCTACCTGGAAGTTCAAAAAATAACATGGGGATATTTTTTGGTATGGCAATAAAAAATATATAGTTCAAGTCTAGGTCTAAACTGTGTATAGCATTTTTCAATTTTAAGGTTTACTGTGTGTTAAAAAAAAACACACTTTAGATAAGCAAAGCAGGCAGTGTCGTGGGTGTGTTCTAGTTGGAACCATTGTGTGATATCACTTAAAGAGAGCTGTTTTTGATGTTGATATTAGTTGTTGTGTTTTGTTTGTTTCCCCCAGAGCACCATTAACCCAGTGGATGGGATCTACCAGCCCCCTCTGGACACTCCTGTAGACAACACCACGATGCCAACACAGACCACACTACCCACAGGTTCTAGAAGTTTGCCTTTTTTTTTTCTTTTTTTTTTTTACATTTCTTATATTTATTTAAATGTGCGGCTCCATGTACTTGATTTATACATCTGCGTGGAGACTAACATCATCATTCTGGGAGGTTGACAACAGCTCCCCCTGCTGGTCACACTTGAACTCCTCCAGCTGACAGATCTGCAAAAAAGTTGATTAAGATGAAACGCAAAGAAAAGTTTAGTCGGGAAGCCCTTTAAACAAATCTCTAACAACATCAACTTAGATAATAAAAATCAATATATCTTTGCACAACAACAATTTTAAATTCTGATGTTTCAGTTTTATATTGAAGGCAGTGGGAAGTAAACTAATTAAGTTCTATTTTGGTATTGTTCATGGTAAAAAAATAAAAAAAAAAGAAGTTATTTCAGAGTTTTAAGTGAATGGATGCAGGATAAGTTCCTGAGTGTTGACATTTAACAGCAAAGTCCTTTTAAATGCTATTTATTATGATTCTTACATATATATATATATTAGATTTCATCTTATTTTTTACACATTATTTATTGAGATAGTGTTGACGCCGATCTCGGTTCTAATGTTAAAAGTAATTTCAGTCAGCAAACAATTGATTAAATTTAACACCATCACTCAGATCTGACTTAATTTTTGAGCTATTTTGGCCAGAAGACTGTGACTAGACAGTTTAAAAATGCTGCGGAAATGAACCATGCAAAGTAGGCCATTCTAATTTGGGTGTCTTCATACACTGTGTAATCCCCTTCACAGATGAAGCCTCTGTCTGTGGCGTCTACATATTCTCTCATCCTTCTTAATTTCGGGCTGTGGAGTAGCTTTATGGTGAATTGGCTTAATTTTGGGGTTGTCTGTGCTGACTCGTGTGCTTTTATTCTGTGTAAAGACGCTTCTCAGGTGTGTAAATCAGACCAACGGCCTTCAACGTTATCTGTCGGTCCCGTCATCACAGTGATGGGCAGTCTGCAGACCCCAACTCCTAACAGCACAGGTGAGAGTTCATTCCACACATGCAGCCGATGAGCCAAATCTGTACAACTACAAGGACTAACATAAATTAACTGATGTGAATCACACATTTCTCTATTGATTGAAAGGGAAAAAAAATAATATAAGGAGCTAAGAAAAGTTATTTTTCTAGTTTGGGGACTTGGTGCACTTCCGGAGTTGCATATTTTACTGTAGTAAGAAAAGAAGAAAAAAAAACTCATAGTTCATTTAGTTGTGGTCCTGGTCCTGGGTCATGTGATCTTCATTACTAGAAGAAGTTTTCATGGAAGCATTTCAAGGAGTTGGCTTTCATTTAAGGGTTCAGAGTTTAATAATTACCACTGAAACAATATCATGAAGAAAAAAAATCATCCCCATGCTTTATTAAAACCTGTTCTGGTGTATTTGATTATATCAGATCATCTTAACCTTAATGAAAAGGCCTTTTTTTTATATCTACTACTGATTTAAAGAACCAAGAATGACCTTAAAATGTTATTTTGTCTTAATCTTATGAAGTATTTTTCAACGGTATAGGTTGCACAGTAGTTGTTAATTCTATTAGTTTAAAAGCTAATATATTAACAATTCAACTACAGGAGTAAAAGTAATGATGTTATAAATTATTACTGCTTTCCTCCACACTGAGAGGTGCTTCCAGGAACATAAAGTAAATAATAAGCAAGTGAAGGCAGAGGAACATGCCTGTTTGTCTTCTGTGCTGAGGCAGCAGTCTAAAAACGCTGTGCTGTGCACTAAAGAAGCTGCTGCATGCTTGAGTGTACTGTCAATATACTCAGCAGAGGAGTCTGTCCCTATGTTACTGACAGATTGATGCAACTTTACACAACCTACTGGACTGCTTAGAGAAATGAATGCTCAAGCTGAGCTACACTATGTTGATTTGACCATGATTTGTGTACGGCACAAATGAAGAAGCCGACTAAAGAGATCCACAAAGTTAAAAGGATAACACTTCAACGGATCCCTCACATGACAAACTTTTTTTTTTTCTCTCCCTGTCAGGGAGTGGCCCGTCAGGCCCCAGCAGTGGCGTCGCCTCCCCAGCTCACATGCCCCTCCCATCGCACTCGGTGCCAGATTTCTCTTATTCTTCCAGTGAGGATGAGTTCTACGATGCGGATGAGTTCTACCAGAGTAGCATGTCCCCCAAACACTGCTTAGAGTAAGTAAAGAATTGCTCTGCCTCCCTTCAACACTGCACTCAGGGAATATAATTCTTCAGAGGCTGAAGGCAGCACTGTAATAATAACACTTACTAGCTCAGGTGGGAAGAGCAAATATAAATCAAGCTGCCAAGGCGGCATCATTCCTTCTCATTCTTTACCAACTTATCTCTCCTGCTTCCTGCCTCCTTCTCTCTCCCTCTATCTGCCCTCAGTCCTTCAGGGCCTCCAGCTGCCTCGTCCCTCACTAATGCAGAAACGGCTTTGAAACGACCAGACACCACAGAGTCCCTTAACTCGTCCATGTCCAACGGCACAACTGATGCAGGTAAAAAAGGGAAACAACACAACACACACACACAAATATATTGCAACTATTTTTTCAACTTTTGAACAGGACAGGGTAATTATTTATTACACCATCTTTTTTTTTGTCCAGTAACTGACCCCAGTAGCATAAATAAGATTAGTCCTTGTAACATGGTTTAAAGATTGTGACATTTTAAACATGAAACTGTAGGACACTTAATGTTGCCACAGCCATGAGACACTTGTCTTGATCTTGTCTTCAGATCCGTTTGATAGTCACGATGACCGTGACGATGACGGGGAGGGCGAGTCTGTGGAGGAGCACAAGAGTGTCATCATGCATCTTCTCTCTCAAGTTCGTTTGGGCATGGACCTCACCAAGGTAAAGACCCTTCACCAACTTGTTGTAGTTTTAAGAGCCTGACTTCCTCCATGTTGGACTGAAGTCTTGGCATCTTTTTTTTTGGTTCTGTCTAGCTTTCTGTGCAATGATCCTTTATGGTTTACCTACTCAACGTCACCTGTGCAGGCGGTTTCTTTTGAACAACCCACACAGCTTAAGTTTTTTCTTCTTCATTATTTATTACAGGTTGTCCTGCCTACCTTCATTCTAGAAAGGAGATCTTTGTTAGAAATGTACGCAGACTTTTTTGCACATCCCGATCTATTTGTAAGGTAATGGTCTTCTCTCTCATTGTTGCAACAATTATATTATTACAATGATATTCAAATGCATCACAAGCAGAGAAATGTAACTCTTTTGTTTGACTTCCACTAGTATCGCTGAGCAGCCGGAGCCCCGGGAGCGCATGGTTCAAGTGGTAAAGTGGTACCTGTCTGCATTTCATGCAGGGAGGAAAGGCTCAGTGGCCAAGAAACCTTATAACCCAATCCTGGGAGAAGTCTTCTTCTGCCACTGGGATCTTCCCACTGAAACAGAGGAGCCTTCCCTGAACGTGGTCAGACCAGTAACCCCTCAGGTAAAAACCTCTTATGGTTCAGCATTGTGTTTCTTAATGGGACACATTACACGACTTTTACACATCACCAATGGATAAAAAATCAAGTTTAATATTAGTGTGTGAAAAAACAATGTTCATCCAAATCAAAGATTGCATGGTGATTAGCTCATTGTCACACTTCATGTAATGTTGTTACACAAATTCAATTTATGACAACAGCAGTTATAATCACTATTTCAAACACTTTACTGAACACACTTTGTTCTTTGTGTGTCAGAACTCCCTGCATTTTATTAACTTTTTAAAAGCTATTATTTAATATTTAATATAATATTTACTTATTTTGGTTTCTCATATTTTGAAAATGGAAAACCTTCTGCCCTTATTTATATATATATATATGTCTGCTTCCTCTCTTCTGCTCCACCTTCCAGGAGACGGCATCAGACGGACCAGTTCCATGGTCTTCAGCCAACAGTGTGCGTTTTGTGGCAGAGCAGGTCTCTCACCACCCACCCAGTATGTGTGAATCCTACTTCTGAGTATTAACATAACTGTGAAAGCTTTTTGACTTGAAGGGTCAAGAATATGAAAACAAATAGAGTCTGCTGATATGTTGAATTAGAGTATCTGAATCTTGATAGGGCAAAGGACATTGTTTGATTTAAAAAGGCACTAGCTTATAATTGTTTACTTTGTTTTACTGGATATTACAGAAATGTTAAATTTTTCCTACAAACTCCTGAGTATTTTCTCTCTTCTTCCTGCAGTTTCTGCATTCTACGCGGAGTGTTTAAATAAGAAGATCCAATTCAACGCTCATATCTGGACCAAGTCTAAGTTCCTTGGCATGTCCATCGGTGTCCACAATATTGGCCAAGGTAGTCCTTCATACACTGCTAAATAAGAACTTGTGTGTACCTTTAAAAGGCCTTCGTCATGACCATTCTTTACTGTTTCCGTTCAAGGTTGTGTGTCATGTTTGGAGCACGATGAGCATTACATCCTCACCTTCCCTAACGGATATGGCAGGTGCGTATTGTTATTATTTCTGTGTCTTGTCTGCGTCATCACTGATGTACAGTATGCTTCACTAACCTAAGTCTGTCTGTCCAGGTCCATCCTGACTGTGCCCTGGGTGGAGCTAGGTGGCGAATGCAACATCTCCTGCTCCAAGTCGGGCTACAGTGCAACTATTGTGTTCCACACCAAACCTTTCTATGGAGGGAAGAAGCACAGGATTACAGCTGAGATTTTGTAAGGAAAAAAATGTTGTTTTTTTAATCTATTGAGACACTGAATTATAGACTCTGACCTACTTTATTGAACATCTATCATTGTTCATATCTGTTTCTCTATCAGTGCACCGAATGACAAGAAGTCTTTCTGCTCCATTGAAGGAGAATGGAACGGAGTGATGTATTCCAAGTTGGCAACAGGAGTGAGTCTCTATTTTCTTTTTGTGAAGTTTGGAGGGTTTAAAACTATTAAATGAGACATCAGCTTAACAATTTAAGTTGAATCAAACCTAGAGATTTTGTGTTCTACGATGTATGTGTCTGGTGAAGAGCATGGAAGGAATCCAGATTTGCAGTAATAATAATTTATACTTTATTAATCCCGCAAGGGGAAATTCAGTTTTTACACTCTGTTTTAATGAACATGAACACACACATGCACAAACTGGATCCTATGGACATGCATTAATGTAGAGGTCACAGCGAGCACTCAAGAGTAGTTTTGGAGTTCAGTGCCGTGCTCAAGGGCCAATTTCCGTACTTGGTCCGTGCCGGTACGTCGAACCTCTGGTTCCTAACCCAAGTCCCTAGAGACTGAGCTACTGCCGTCCCTGTATCATGAAACTGCTGGTTTGAATGTGTTTTGTATTATGTAAGATACTTTTCTTTATAATAAATCCTGATTATATGTGATTGGAAAACACTTATTGCTTACATTTTGTTAAATGATTACCTCTCCACTTGTTTCAAGGAGAACACATCGTTCATAGACACTAAGAGGCTGGGCATCGTTAAGAAGAAAGTGAGAAAGCTGGAAGACCAGCTTGACTATGAGTCCCGAAGGTGAGAAAAAATAAAGAGAACATTCATGCAAAGCATGCAAGAAACAAAGTCTTCATTTAGGAAAAAACCTTGACTTCATGTATTTGACTTTTACTCCTTCAATTCATCAGACTGTGGAGAGATGTGACTTTGAACCTAAAATTGAAAGACATCGATGCAGCAACGGAAGCCAAACACCGGCTGGAGGAGAAACAGCGAGCCGAAGCCAGAGACAGGAAGGAGAATGAGCAGCAGTGGGAGACCAGGGTAAGGCTGCTTGTATTTTTCATCCACAAAAAATGACATCATCATTGTTTTTAAATGGAAAACAGGTTTACAAATTGACTTAATTAAGATTTAATGTACGACAAAGATCTGTGTGAGTAATTATTCTTATTACTTGTGTGTTTCTGCAGCTATTCCATGAGGATGGAGAGTGCTGGGTCTATGATGAGCCTCTATTAAAGAGATTAGCCTCTCAGAGGCACTAAGGAGACTACGCACACGCTGAAATTCACACAAACATATGCATAAGGAAATGCACACAACAGAGTCTTCATAAGAACTCTTTTGCAAAAACCACTTCTTTTCCAAGCCTTGGAATGACTGATGATTGATTATGTATGTACACAGCTTTGCATTTGACTGTAAAATAACCATATGGAAATGAATGAAATCAAATGGAAAAGCATCTAAGATGTATCAAGTTAATTAGTAAAGCTCCTTTACTTATTTGGGCAATGTTACTTCCACCACCACCGATACCCACCACCACCCGCCAACATGAGACTCAGCGGAGCAGAGACAGATGGGTAGTGTCTCATCTCTCAGCCACACCCTTCATCAGCTCCACAGGACAAGCCAGAGCCAGAGCATCACTCCTTTCCTTACATATTTTAATTTTTTGGACGGGGGGGCTGCAATAGGTGGGTGGTTGAAGATGTTCAAATCAAACAACACTTGACAAATAAAATAGCGCTCTACATCTCAGGGAATCTGGTGTCTGAGGAAAGAAAGCTGCTGTCCCCTCTGAGAGTCTGACAGCCTTAAAACGGTGGAATGGATGAATCTTTAACAGGGCGAAGAGAAACTCTCAGCTTGCCTGCAACTAGTTGTAACTGTTGTTTATATATAGATATACATATGATGGATATATAAATATATATTCTTTTTTTATTTTCAATGCATTTTTTGTTAATTTTAGTTTCTGGCAATAGTGTAAAATATATGTGGACATGAACATGATGGCTTTACATCTTTAAGAATCATTCCATTTCAAGTTTATTTTGCCACCTATTCCATCTTTTACACTTTTCTGTGTTATCAGAGGCAACACCCTACATAAGCCATAACATCTGAACAAACTAATCGGCAGAGCTGTGATAGACTTGTGGATATATGCAATATATAGATCATCAAAGGACAAATTTGGGTGTCCATTACGCCAAAAAGGTTTAGTGAAGTGGCTAAAGGGACTTTTATTCGGGCAGAGAACAAACAAAGTACCTGAAGGCATTTATGAACAAATGATTGTTTACATATATTTGTCTTTCTGGATCACTGATCCAAGATGAGGACACAAGGCTAGGGTTGGGTGTGTAAAGTCGCTCTGTTTGTTCTGCAGCTCACCTATCCTTGTTTCTTCTCCAAGTCAATGGGATCAACTTGATGGGTTACTTTTGGGTTGTTGGAAGGTGATGAGAGTTTAAGCAGCGGATCAGAGTCGACTACTGATGCTAGATTACAGCCTGTGTTCCACCTCATCAGTCTTTCTTTGCAATTGTTTTTATTTCTTTAAAGATTAACAAATTGTGGGCAATATTTCTCCTACTCAACACCATTGCTTTTCAAATCGTAATGCGTTCTCTTATTTACAGCTACATAGGTTGAAACTAAATACATTGATATTTGGATGAAATGCATAAATAAACAATTTTCACCAGAAAATGCCCAAGAATATATTTTAATACTGTTGCAAGGTTACAATAGATGTTCTTGTTATCTTTGGGGTTAATAGACAGATTCATATCTATGAAAAGTATTATAATAATAATATACTGTTTTTTTATAGCGCTTTTCTAGGAATCCAAAGACGCTTTGACAAAATATAAAACCATAAAAACGAAACAAAAAACGACGAGGACAGTACAATGAAGAAGTAATGTAGGGGGAGGGGGGGAGTTAGTGGTTGTAGGCAATGTTGAAGAGGTGAGTTTTGAGGGATTTCTTGAAGCAGGTAAGTGTAGGGGAGTCTCTAATGTTTTTTGGGAGAGAGTTCCAGAGGGTGGGAGCAGCAACAGAGAAAGCCCTGTCCCCCCCAGGACCTGTCCCCCCTGCAGAGGGGGGACAGGAGGTTTGCATCTGCAGACCTGAGAGTGCGGGTGGGAGTGTGTCGGTGGAGGAGGTGAGACAGGTAGGGGGAGCCAGGTTGTGAAGGGCTTTGAAGGTGATGATGAGGAGCTTGAAGTTGATACGCTGGGGGATGGGGAGCCAGTGGAGGTCATGAAGGACTGGGGTGATGTGGTCTCTGGTGCGGGAGTGTGAGGAGACGGGCTGTGGAGTTCTGAATGTATTGAAGTTTTTTGAGTGAGTGTGATGGTGATCCGTAGAGGAGACTGTTGCAATAGTGTAATCTGGAGGTAATGAATGCGTGGGTGAGGGTCTCGGCAGCTGAAAATAAGAGGGATGGGCGGAGGCGGGCGATGTTTTCGAGGTGGAAAAAGGCTGTTTTGGTAATGTTTGGTCGAAGATGACACCAAGGTTACGGATGTGGGGGGGAAGGGAGCACTGTGGCGCCATCGATGGTGAGGGAGAAGTTGTTGGTGGATTTGATGAGGGATTTGGGGTAGATGATAATAACTTCTGATTTGTCGCAGTTGAGTTTGAGAAAGTTGGTTTGAAGCGAGGATTGTATTTCAGTGATGCAGTCAGTGAGGATTGAGTGAGTGGCAGAATGGCTTTGGTGGCGATGTGGCGTCAGCAAAGCAGTGAAACTGGAGACCATGGCGGCGGATGATGTGTCCAAGTGGGAGCATGTACATGATGAAGAGGAGGGGACCTAGTACTGAACCTTGGGGAACACCTTGGGAGGGAGGAGCAGTGGGGGATTTGCAGTGGTTCATGCTGATGAACTGGTATCTGTCAGAGAGGTATGATTTGAGCCAGGAGAGAGCAGTGCCTTTGATGTTGAAGGTGGTTTCAAGACGGGAGAGAAGGATGGAATGGTTGATGGTGTCGAAAGCTGAGCTTAGGTCCAGTAGGATAAGGATGTTGAGATTTCTGGCATCAGAGGAGAGGAGAAGGTCGTTGGTGATCTTGAGGAGAGCTGTTTCGGTGCTGTGGTGGGAACGGAAACCAGATTGGAATGATTCATAAAGGTTATGGGTGATCAATAAGTCATATGGAGGGATCTATAAACACAAACATTCCTGGTGTACATATCAAGTTAAAAACTTGAGGCCTAGATTCAGCTATTGAATTAACTCATCCTTGAAAGAATACAAATCAGACAAATAAAATCAGCAGTACTGGCGTTTGGTGCGTTCATGAAGGCTGTCACAAGAACACTGACACTGAGAGGAAGTGAGTTCAACAGAATGTGCTTCTTAAAGAAACACGGAGCAGTGAACAGGAAGAAAGACAGATGTTTAGGCTGTAGGGACTAAAACTGAGTTTTCCTCAATGTTAAGTCTCTGAAAATTAAATTGAGGACTTGCAACACATTTCAGTCTTATTCAGTATCATCTGATAAAGAGCAATCAAAAAGTAAAATTCATTTTGTTCATAACCTTCGATTGTATCAGATTTCCTTTCTATTGATGCACAACATTAACATTAGTAGCCTTTGTGGACCACTGATGATCCGCTGTATCATCAGAAAATCGGATGTATAACATCATTCACTTCAACATAATACTGAGTCCACTGATGAATTACTATTCTTTAATCTAATAAAAAATATATTATTGCATTGTACCTCCGATAGTGCTTTATTTTTTACAATATAACATTACTTAGTGTATTTAAAGTTTCAAATAGTAATAGTACCTTACCAGGGGTACAGATAGATTTTATTTAATGTTTGGAGCTTTCAGACACGTTTCATATGGAAGCGATTAGTGATCAAAATTCAAATGATAAAGCTAATTTTCAGAATATGAGTGTATTATTTGACTCAAAAATAAAATTATGATTAATTTATCTAATTTGAATTTTAGTTTTCAACTTCAAAAATGCACATTCTTTGACTAAATTCAAATGAAGAAGAAAATTACATTTGCTTTATCATTTTAAAAAAATGCCCCGCTAAATATGAGTCAAATAATACACTCATATTCTGAAAATTAAAAACCATTTGAATTTTGATCACTTATCGCTTCCATACGTTTCATAGTTGTCCCCTTGAATATGGAGAAAACTCTTTTTTAAAGTTTTTTGCAGCAGCAGCAGCAGCGACCGGTGACGACAAGAATTGCCGACCAGCAGGGGCGCTACCGGGCATTACTGATAATTTTCCCATCAGCCCTTGCGAATTCTCCTATAAAAGCGCCCTGCACCATCAGCTAGTCCTCACTCCTCTGCTGCTCACAAGGTATGTATGATGGCACTACTGTAGATAGTTACCTATTCCTCTATTCTTGGAGATTGTTTGTAATTTAGATGTAGAAGTAGGGAGCAATGTGTTTATTTATTAATGTAAGGTAATTTTCATGTTTTCTGATGCTTTTTGATACAATGTGAACTTTAGTTAAAGGCTCTTATGTTAGCAGCAGGCCTCAGCCACGTGCCCCACTGCACGAGGCTGAGATGCATATTAGCCACATCACTAAGCTCTTTTAATGTTGTACTGCAGCATTGTCCCATGACTGTATGATGAATTAAATGTTGGTAGGGACATCTGAATTTATGTGAGGAAACGCCAACATCTCTGACCGCATGGGACAACGACTAAACTCTGCTTTACTCAACCTTTCAGTACATATTATCTTGTTGATGCTACTGGTTGTATACAATGTACAGCATTTAGTGTCTTTTAAACATTTTATAGGGACTTTTCAACTTTTTATAGCTAACCTTTTTATATCTCAACTGATGGCTTATAATGTTTCTTCTGTGTTTGTAGTTGTGCTGAGTGGATACTAAAATGAAAGCCGCCATCTCACGGTAAGCAACCCAAATTGCGCAGTTCTTTTAATGGTTACTGGTGTAGTGGACTGAAGTAGTTTATTAAACTCTGTAACTGAGTTGAGATTGATGGCGAACGTTTCATTACATCGGGACGCGATAATGTGCAGATGGAGTTGACTGCAGTTTTGAAACTTAAGTTCTCTCCGCTCTCAGGTTCATGATGATAACCCCTCCATGGGTTGAATTCCACCAGAGGGCACCATGGTGAGAATTTAAACTACTTTGTTTTATTAATCTCGACTTGGAGTCAGTGATGATGTTTAAGAGTAGTGGACAGAAGTGATTTCTGAGTAATTATACACTGAGACTTCTCTTTAGCACAACATTTGTATTGTCGTGTTCAGCACTGTACTAAAAGATGTTCGTCCACAGGGCCCCTGAGACTGAAGAGACACAAGTCGGCTAGTGTAGCTACCAAAGGTAAGGCCCTTGACTGTGAAAAGTAGACCATGCTTCTCTGTGGTGTCCTGTCTCTTGTTACCAGTACTGTGTTTCCACCGTAGACAATTTAAATGGCATGCTGTGTAAGATGTAGCATTTCTGTACCACAAAATTCAAGCCTGAAAAGTTGTGAACCAGTTCTGAACTGGTCTAGCCTAAGGGCGAATTGCTGAATGTGTAATTGTAACGCAAATGACTTGTATATTTTTTTTAAATCAAATTTGTTAAATGAGTGTTTTTCTGGACATTCAAAATTAGGTGGACATCAACAGTTTATTTGTCTGCATAGAAACACTCGGAGAAGCATTGGTCTACCTTAAGCCTGCACTAGTTTCTGTGCTGCTGTGATGACATTATTTGCTACTCTTGACCCAATGGATGACGATATTTTCAACCCACCAGTTGATTATCTGAGGCACAAACAACCTGTTTATTGTAAGCCTTAATTTTTTCTTTTACAACTGCTCATGCATGTTCTGTTTCCTCAGGTGTGCCAAGTTGGTGTCAGCTGCACAACATCTAGAAAAGGTGAGGTACCAAAACCTCATTCTTCACATTCTCCCAAAAGCAACTGTCAATGATGATTTTTGTTATGAAACATTGGGAATCTCTCTGAAAAAGAGTGAAAGAGTACTTTTTTCTGAGCAGTTCAGAGAGCACACATGTACTTGTATTAAATATGGGCCTCTATTAATGTTCTGTTTGTACTTGCAGATGATGCAGATTCACATTGCTGGAGACCCAGTTCTTGTAATTGGAGGATCAGTTAAAGGTGAGGTGATGTTCAGGCCTGGAATAAAGACTTTGCCCTCATATTGGCCTAATACAATGATGATTGCATAGTTCAGCAGATTAAAACATGAAGAATTGAGCATTGTCTTTCGCTCCTAGCTGATGTATTGGGTTCAATTACCAGTGAGTCGAGCTGATATCTGAAGTGGTTTTTAAAATGGCTTCTATGCATTTTCAGGGGTGTGTCCAACATCACTCAATGCCACATGAGGGTGAGTTGAAAGGCTTATTGGTAGAAATAATACTACACTTGATACAATGATGACTGCATAGTTCAGCAGATTAAAACATGAAGAATTGAGCATTGTCTTTCGCTCCTAGCTGATGTATCAATTGCAATAGTACTTAACCCATAAGTGTTTTGAAAAAATGAATTAAAATAGATTTCTTTGCTTCACAGATATGTAAAACCTAGCTGTTGGAAGATTCTCATTGCAATGTGTTGGTAAGTATCATTTAAGATTTGGACATTGTTCATGATCTTTCAGATGTGATGAGTTTGAATCAGGTCGCTGATCTAGTTGAGGAAACTTGATGCAGAATCTGATCTGGATCATACAGTTACTAACTTACTTTTTTGTTTTAAACATTACTTATAATATATCTCTATCTTTTCAGAGTCTGCAAATTCCCTTAATGGGATTGTGATGGTCATGCACAGGATGTCTCAAAGGCATGGTAAGAACGCAAATATGGCTATTGAATGCATTCTAGACTCTGATGACTGTGTAGCATGTACTTATTTTGTAGTAATGCTTACAAAATATAGATTAGTCTCTGGATTGCCTAGCTTCTGTAAACTTGCTCAGCTTTGCCTCTGAAGTTCCTCCTGTGCAATAAATTGTTATATTAAAGCTTTTAGTATCAATTTGTCTACAATTTCTGCATATAGAGTATGGATCTTAAAATCTTTTATCTCTGTAGACTGACCATGTGATGACATGTGATCACTGACTTAAAACCATGGAGGTTGTCATATTAGCTCTAACTGATCTGGTCAGTGTGTACTGGCTCAATCTGTTACCTGGTGTGCATATTCACCTTACACTACTGTCTCTTACAGGTTCTATGTGTTCACTTTGGAGGCCCTGTTGAAGGAGACTGACAAAAGGTGAGAAATCAAACTTTTTAAAAAGTGTAACTTTGGGTTCAATGATGTTTTACAAATGTCTGACCTGAACTTCAATGTGGAAACTGTTGTACTGAGGAACCCAGTGAAATTAATTTGAACCAGCCAATCACTGACTTGTAATAAGGTAATTTTCTTTCTAATTCTACAGGAAAAAGCTTCACCCCTCACTAATATAGGTAAGAGCATTTGAATGTACCCTTGTTTCCAATAGGAATGTTAAATTGGTCACACTAGCAGTGATGAAAAGATTCTGCCAAATGATATCTCATGATTATAACCCTTACCGTTCCATATTTTCTGAGTTTTTGTGGTCAAATATCTGTTCTGCCAGTTTACTGTGAAAATGGAGACTTGCCTTTAAATGGAAATTGTCTTCTCAGGAATGATGCTGTCAAGTCCAATTGCCCAGAGTGGCAAGCCCTACACCTCACTCTGAAGTGAGTATGAAACTGGCTGTAAGATTTAATGTTGAAGGATGTGTGTGAATCTACTTAATTTTTTCTAGTCTTGTAATAATGATATTTCTGCTCCTTCTCAGATGCTGTAAGGTGTTGGCTGTGGAAAACCTGCAATGTCAAGACTATGCCATTTGATGTAGAACATGAATAAAAAAATAAAAAACTAAAGAACATATTGCCTTGTGTTTTCTTTGTAGTATTCCATGTGTGCAATGTTGTCTATAAAACATCCTGATGTACACTTGCCTATAAAAAGAAAAAACCTTCCAATGCCTTAGTATAAATTTAATTTCCTCTAGTAGTAAAATGTTACAGTAGGAGTTAAGTAAACCAAACTGCAATTGAGTAAAAATGAAAATGTGGGACCATAACGATTTGAAGGAGCAGGTGTAACCGGAAATGACGTGTCTCATCGTTTTACCGTAACCGCAGTGATTACATTTCATTTCGGCGAATTATTTGCAGTTTGACGGCAAGTAATCAAATTTCTCTTTACGCTATTGAATTAGAAACTAGATGGAACTCAAACTGAATATTCAGAAAGTAACAAGCCCTTTGTAGGCGGGCGGAGCTAAGTGACCGAACACGGCGCAATACAGGAAGTAAAAACAAGCGCCCATTCCTTAGAAAATGGGGAGAGGGGGTAAAAATCTTGCACAGTAGGCCTACATGCCACTAGCTCACTGCTAGGTGTGAATAAATGGGAGCGCAGTATCGAGTAGTGTGGTTTTGAAGGAGTCTTGGACCAGCCTCTTCACAGATGTTGGTGCGGTGTCTGCTGCCTCTGCTCTGGGCTCTGTCCGCAGAGGCTGACTTCTTCCAGTTTGACACCATTTCCAATGTTTCCACCTATTATTTTAATTACTTTTATTGCAATATATGGGAGGGAGATTGTCAGCCTAACCAAGACGATGCTACACAGCAAGGTAGGAAACTACAAATATTTAAATATTGGATGCTTTCATAAATACCGGTATGTAATGTATCTAAAGCTGTAGTCACATGTTACAGCCCGCTAGGTAACGCGAACATTGGCGATTTACTGTCCATGTTGCCATATCATTGTTACTTACTGGTTAACACCATAGACTGCATATACCGTCTGTGGTTATTGTAAACCCGACTGGTTGTTTTGCATGTGATCAGTTCCAACCAGGGACATCTGGGCAGGTTTACCTCAGGACTACGTTAGCCTGCTGCACCAGTGGTACTGTAGTCTGGGCCAGTGCTGCGAATCTGGAGACTGCAGGATAACCAACAATATTACAGGTATCATCACACTCCAGCCTGATAGTGTATTCATGTTTTTGTTTTTTTTAATTATGCCATGTTCCTCTGTTAAATCAAACATAGGTAGCTTCTGTAACCTACAAAACCATGATGATCAATGAAATCACTCGTGAAAGAAGACGAATTCACAGAAAACAATTGCTCATGCAGGGGGTTCCAACCATTAATCTACTTATGCATGTATGTAGGAATAGGTCTACTTATGTAGATTAATCTATTTACGATAAATACCATATGGACTAGAGCAGAGCTGCTGCCCTTTTCAGTGGTTTGTAGAGAGGCAATCTGCCATTCATGAGTTTAAAATATAGAATAGAATAGAATTACTTTATTGATCCCAAACTGGGAATTTGTGGTGTTACAGCAGCAGGTTGTCCAAACACACAGTATGAGTAAAAAAACACAATGTTAGCAAATCTAAACACAATATAATATTAAATACAAAGTAAATAAGTACTAAAAGATATCAAAAATAAGAATGTGAACATATACAATCAGGATTTCACTAAGCATTACTAGTCTTAAATAGGAAAGATTAAATATGGAAGATTGAATGTAAATGTGCAAAAACAGAGTCGTAGATGGTTGTAAATTAAATATGAAATATTAAATGTAAATGTGCAAATGAGTTTTATATTTTAATGGTTTTTATTGCTGTTATATGTTACATATCGTAAAATCATTTTCAATATATCTGCCTAAAAGTCAGGTTACTCAGAAAGAATACTGTTAATCTGTTTTTGTGATTCCAAATGTCATATTTCTGCACACGTGCAGGTCTGGCGAGGGACCTCCAGAAGAAGCTCCACGGGCAGCACCTGGCTCAGTCTGTGGTTCAGAAAGCCATCCAGGGTTTTATCAACAACCCAGAATCTAACAAACCATTGACACTCTCCTTCCACGGCTGGTCTGGCACAGGAAAGAACTTTGTGGCACGTATCATTGCAGATAACCTGTACCGTGACGGGGTGAAGAGTGAGTGTGTCCGTCTGTTCATCGCCCCGTTCCACTTCCCACACGCCAGACTGGTGGACACGTACAAGGTAAGACATGCAGAGCCCCAGTTGGCACAGGTTTTATGTTCTGTGCCAGGAATATGCTGGATGTGTTCTTGGGACCCTCTGCTTGCCTAATCAGATGTTTAGTCTGTGTGTTGTAATTTCTCTTAGGGATCACTTTGGGCGCATGATTCAAATCAAACACTGATTCTAAAAATACTGACGTGCATAGCATGGTGTTTGTCTTGCTGGGACACAAGGGCCAACCTGGTCCAATTCAAACACTTTTTACCTATTCACTGCTTCAAATTTGGGGAAAAAGGTTCACACTGACTATTTCACAAGTGAATACAGATTCTAAAGGTTATAGTACACAGTGTCCTCTCTGTATTCAGGGCCAGCTAAGAGAGGCGATCCGCGACATGGTGCTACGCTGTCCTCAGACTCTGTTCATTTTCGACGAGGCTGAGAAGCTCCATCCAGGCCTCATTGATGCCATCAAACCCTACATGGATCACTATGACAACGTAGACGGCGTTAGCTACCGCAGAGCCATCTTCCTGTTCCTCAGGTTGGTTTATATATTAGGAAGGTCCTCTCTGATGAAGCTCATTCAACAACTCATAGTGCATTACACCTTTAACCCAGTTTTAAATGCTCATGTCAATTTTCTGCTGACTGATAGTCTGGTTGATTATAGATATATATTAGATGAAGTAGAAGATGTCAACACTAAGGACATTTACAAACTAACTTGTAAAATAATCACAATGAACATATTAGAATAAAATTGGCATTTGCTATTTGATCAAAACATTTATGTATATGTATTGTTCCTTTAATATTTAAGGGAAAGGTGTCTTTATTGTCAACCAAAATCTGATCATTTGTCAAAAAATACATTCAATATTTCATAAAATACATAACAAACTTCACTACTTTAGACTGTCGACCTTCACTGCAGTGAAGAGGACAATATGGTTAGAAATAAGCCAATCCTGATAACGCAACTGTCAGCCACGACAGAGAATAGCAATCATGTTTTTGACACGCATGCTATTCCTGTCTCTTCAGTAATATAGGCGGAGCCACGATCAATGATGTAGCGCTGGACTTCTGGCACTCCGGTCAAAATCGCGAGGACATTGGCATGGAAGACCTGGAGCATCGGCTACGAGCTGAAACTATGGAGTCTCAAGGTATTCTGTAGATGTTATCTTAAAGTCCTCAAGTGGTGGCCAGATGTCAAACTCTCCTCTGTGGTCTTTTTCATTATTAACTTTGGCTCTTTGCCATTTCAGCCTGGGCAGGAAGTGAATGGTGTTACTCAGAGAGCTACACAACCATTTTCATACGCTGTTGGAGTTGGTGTGAGAGTTCTTCTGCTACTTTAACTGACAGAAGTAGTTAGCTGAAGGCTGTATTCACAGCTGTATTGTATGTGTCTAATATTTTTCTGTATGGTTGTCTTCCCTAGGTGGGTTTGCTCAAAGTGAGCTGATGTCTGGCCACCTGATCGACTTCTTTGTGCCATTCCTGCCTCTTGAGTATCGGCATGTCAAGCTCTGTGCACGAGATGCCTATGCAGCACGAGGTCTGGAGACAGATGAAGCAACCCTGGATGAGGTTGCTAAGGCCATGCTGTACGTTCCCAAAGAGGAGAGACTGTTCTCAGCCCAGGGATGCAAGTCTATACCCCAGAGGATCAACTTCTTCCTCCCCTAGAACAAGACAGACAGACAGAGAGAGGGAGGGAGAGAGAAGCCTGGAGGATCTGCCGGCCCATCTGCATACAGAGCCACTGAGGAGATGTGTCTCATCTGCTCTGCTACACGTAACCCCACCCACCAAAGATGCAACATGTATCTGCCCAGGTCCTCCAGAGAAGGCCAGGAAACAGATTCAGTAGTACAGGAGAGAGCAGCAGAACCCACCCTGCAGACAAAAGAAGTGCCAGAGTGTGTGGTGTGGCTGCTCTTCCTCACCAGCCTGGGTTGAATCCTCACAGAATAAACACAAAGTATTAGAGGACATTAGTGGTTGTGCTGTGTGTCATAGAGGAACACTGAGACATCTTTTCACACTTTTTTATTTTAGGTAAGGCCATACTTCATGTGTCAGTATTTGCATGTCAGACATTGTGTGTCTGTAAGCACTGATTATAAGACTTAGTTTGTGCCATGTTTTAGCATCTTACTGTACCAGATACATTTTGTGAAGCTGTTTAAATGCACATTTTGTTTTACTATAAGTTGTTCGTGAGGTATAATGGGAATGTGTTGTAAACAGTATGGAGTGTGTAACAGCTAGGAAACATGGTGCTGTGATTACAATGTTACCAAAAAAATGTGTCAAAAGTAATGAATCTATTTGAAAGTTGTCTTTTTTTGTGTGTAAATATGTTGGATACAGTGCTTGTAATTATTTATTTATTTTTGTCTGTAATGCCATTGTTTTCATGTGACCTGAACAGAACCTGACACAGGTCTGGGTATCTTCAACCCTACATAATATAAAATTGTTAATTTGGAGTATATTTAACACATTTCTTTTTTAAATTTCATCGACTTGCATAATTTTTTGTCATTTATCAGTCACCTTCACTTAATCACACATACTGTAGGCATTGGCTGGTCTGCTTTAATGATCTTGACTCTTAAGCTCTGAATCACATTACAGGAAGGTTAAAAGAAGTCAGCTATCGAAATATGGTTGAAAGAAAATAAACATCCAGAGTAAATCAACAACAGTTGTTTTGTCAGTTTGTTTTTCCAAAAAAAAAAAAATGTTTGCTTAGTAGAGACACTTGGAGAAAAATCTGAAATTCACAGATCTAACTAAATTGATTTATTCATCAATCAACACAAATAGTGGGCTACAATTTG